GCAGAGAATCTGGGAGAATGGGGCCCGAGATGAAGCTGTGGGTCGGCTCACTTGCCTTCTGCTCTTCCCCCTCCGCTGTGCTTCCTTGAACCGTGGAGCCTGGAAAGCTCAGAACGCCATTTCTCCCAGACCCCTTGCAGCTGTGGTTCTGGCCGCGCATTCGATTCCGCCGGGAGATGGGGCCGGGGGCTGCCTACCTGCCACTCTAGGCAGCTGCGTGTGCCGAGGAGATGCCGTAGCAGACGAGATGGTGGTCAGTGGAGGGGGTGGAGGTGCTTCCAGCCGGAGGAAGGAAGGTGGAGGAGGTGGAAGAGAACAAGAGCCGTCTCAGGACGGCTTTGGTGGGGGTGGGAAGCTGAGGTCATCTGAAGGAGGGGTTGGTGGTTCCAGAATGTGGTCAGGGGAGGGGTGTGTGTCAAGGAAAGCACTCGGAGCTCAGCAAGGGCATGGCTGAGCCCCTGGGGTCTTGCTGAGGCTGAAGTGGAGTCCACAGGGGTGGACGGGGTGGGTCAGGAGGTCTAGGCTCCTGGGCGGGGACCAGCCGGGTGTGTGGGGAGAAGGACAAAGAAGGAAGATGTCAAGGGTGTTCTGGGTAGCTTGTGCAGGACGAGGGATCTAAGAATGGGCTGTTGGCTGGGGGTGCAGGGGGCGGGAGGCCTGGGCAAGTGGCCAAAGAGAGGACTGCGCAGCTGGCGAGGTCAGGGTTGAGGGCAGGGCCGGGAGAGCTTGGAGGGGACACAGATATGCCACAGATAGGCATGTGTGGTAGAAGGGATTTTCCTGCCTCCTACCCCTCTCTGTTCCTCTGTCTGGTATTGGGAGGCTGGCAGTGGGAGGGAGCTTCTGGTCATGCAGCTCAAGGCAGAGAAGGAGGCAGCCCCGTGGTCCTTTGGCGTGTCCTGCCTGTCTTCAGCGGGACTCCTCCCCTGGGTGACCTCCTGCTGCTTTGAGTATCTCTACCTCTGGACAACTCCATGCTTATGTCTACCCTGGATCTTTCCCCTTGCTCCAGACTCATCATGCAACACACTCGGCATGCGTGTCTTTCTCTGACAGTCTTCTCAACCGAAATATCCAGAATGGAAGCCTTGATTCCTGACCCTGCAAACCCTCTCCTTCCAGTCACTGCTTTCTGGTTAAAGGGCACGTCCGTCTTCAGGGTTGCTAGGAATGAAACTGGCGTCATCTTTGACTGCATCAGCAGATCCTGTAGACCCCACAGAATAGATCCCAGGTCCGGCCACTTCTCCTATCCTCCACCATCACCTCCCTGGTCCCGGCCTCCGTCCCTCTCGCCTGGAGCCCTCCGGGAGGGCAGGCTCTTCCAGCTTCTGCCGTTCTCCCACTAGGGGCTATTCCTCACGTGGCGGCCAGGGGGCGCCTTCGCGATGCGGATGGGGTTTCCCTGCTCGCGGATGGAAGGCAAAGTAGTCAGTGGTGCCTCCAGACCCTTCCGCTGCTCTGCGTGTACGCTTCACTGAGTCCCACCCGCCTTCCTGCTGGCCCTGAAAACAGTCTGAGCTCCTTCCCGCCTTTGCCCTCGGCGGGTCCTTCCGCCCACCGTACCCTTCCCCCATCCTTGCAGAGCTCAGTCTGGCTTCTAATCACCTTGTTTTCTTCCCTTCTCGGTCTTTCTCTTCTCCCCGGCCTCCCTTGTTAGCTTTTCGTGGCACTTTCCACCACGTGTATTCTCATTATCTGTATTAACTTGTGTATTGTCTGTGTCCCTAGCAGCAAGTGAACTCCCTGGGGCAGGGACTTGGCTTTGCCCACTGCCAGGTCCTCAGGGCCTAGCACCCAGGACTAGCTTGTTACATATATGCTGCATGATGCATAGTGCATGTCATCCTAGGACGGCCCGGGGGACTTGTCGGCAGGAAGCCATCCTCCCCCTCCCGGCCTCCTCCCCTCCCCGGGGTTGAAAGTGTCTTCCCCTCCCTGCTCAGCATCAGCGTCCTCTGGCCCACCCAACAGTGGAGCCAGCAGAAAGGCAGGAGCAAAGGGGTCAAATGACCTGGGGGTCCATGGAGGAGGAAGGGGACTTTGAGAGTCAAAACCCAAGACCCGCCCATTGGACAAGATAGGGAAGATGCTGTGCATGGAGTGGAGAAGTTGCCCCAAGACTCCTTGCCTCGGTCTGTCTAGAGCAAAGGTGTGTCCATACCTTGGCTTGTTCTGTGCCCTTGTGTGCATGCCTGAGGGCTGCCAGGCAGGCTGGGGTTGGGGGTCTCTGCTCTTACCCTTGCATGAGAAGGCTAAGGAATGGGGAAGTAAGCAGAGGGTCCTGGGGGTCCAGGGGGGGGACACCCAATGCTGAGTCTTGGAGAAGAAATAAGATCTGGTCAGGCAGAAGGGGAGGACAGGGGTTTGGGGCAGAGGGAACGGCAGGTGCAAGGCCAGACTGAGTGTGGCTCTGAACCTTCCAGGAGTGTGGCCTGGGCGTGGTAGAGGGACAGAAGTGTGGGGGTGGGGACAAGCACGGGGACCCTCCCTCCCTGAATGAGAGTGAGCCTCACCAAGGGCGAACAGGACCCCATTCACAGTTGGGAAAAGCTCCTGGCCCTCCTCTTATAGCCCCCAGCACCGACACTCACCTACCCGCATCCTTTTTTTTTTTTTTAAGTTTTTTTTTTTATTTATTTGACAGAGAGATAGTGAGAGCAGGAACACAAGCAGGGGGAGTGGGAGAGGGAGAAGCAGGCTTCCCACGGAGCAGGGAGCCCGATGCAGGACTCGATCTCAGGACCCTGGGGATCATGACCTGAGCCGAAGGCAGACGCTTAACGACTGAGCCACCCAGGCGCCCCATCCTACCTGCATTCTTAATTAGAGCTGCCGGGTGGAAAGTGGGAGCCCAAGTGGAGAAATAATAGGAGGGGGAGCCACGGGGCCCTGACGGGGCCTGGTGCTGGGACTGAGCGAAGGGAACGCTGCCCCATCCAGGAATATTCAAACGCATGAACGAACGGGTAGCAGCTGACCGCAGCTTTTCAGTCAGCGGGGAGAAAATACACTGTTAGGGTAAATGGTGCTGGTCGATGGGTAGCCACCTGGAAAAAAAACAAAGTAGCATCTGCTCTGCGCGATGTAGCAACTAACCAAATGTAAAAAGTTAAACCTTAACACTGCAAGCAGAAACACTGTAGGAGAACGCTTTTAAAATGTGATTTCAGAGGGGCAGAGACCTTTCTAAGAATCACAAATGAACTGAACAATATCAATATGAAAGTGTCTTCATGGCTCAAACCGCCATTAGTTGAAGCCAGTGATGGAACTGGGAAAACACGACTTGTGTGATGACCAAAGAGCTAATTTCCCTAATATGGAAATCAATGAAAAGCCTGGACACCAAATAAGAAAATGGGGTATGAAAACACAGTTCACAGAAGAGAGAAATACAAATGGCTTTTAACCCCCTGGAAAAATGCTCACTGGTACTAAAAGAAGTGCAAATCAACACTCCATCACAATAGCACTGCCTCCAGGAACATCAGAAATAAGAAAGTCATCTGAATGACTGTTGGTGAGAACGTGGGAGATGAGCTTTCATGCACTGCTGGTGGGAAGGTGAATGGGTACAACACCCCGCGAGGGCATGTGGCACAAAGGAAACCCCTGTCACCCAGCAGCCTTCCCAAAGGGCAGGGCCTTCAGACGCTAGCGCCCTCAGAATGGCGCAGGTGCACTGTTGTACGTGGGCGTGCTGTGGGAGAAGCCAAAGGCGGAGGAGAAACCTACCTGCCCTTTCATAGGAACTAATCAGGATAATTCTGGCATGCCTAAGCAACGGAATCCAGCTTCAAAAATGAGGAAGGAAGCTCTTTCTGAATGAATACGGAACAAACTTCAAGGTAAACAGTCAATGAAAGCCAGCAAAGTGCAGGACACTGGGTATCGTCGGCTCCTTTTGGGGTCAGAGAAAGGAAGTGAAGAATGCTGTTTTTTCTGCTGGAAGGTCCCTGGAAGGACACACAAGAAATTGGCAATGGAGGTGACCTTCTAGGAAGGACTGGGTGGCTGGGCAGTGGGTCAGAAGGCTGACTTATAATAAGCTCTTCTGCATACGTATAAGTGAATGTATTACTCATTCAAAGGTAATGTGACAATATTAAAATATAACCAAAAAACTTAAAAAAAAGGTTTGCTGTCTAGGTCCCAGGTTAGGGGAGCGGGATGGTTGTGTTGTACTGGGAGGAGGGATGGGGGGATGCTGAGTTGGAGGAGCTGGTGGGCATCCGGGGTCGGGTGAGGGCATCTTCAGCAGGTCTCCAGGTTGGCGATGGTGGCCCTGGAGTGGCTGGGATGGTCCCCAGGGTGTGAAGAGAAAGGCCAAGACAGCGTCCTAGGAGCAGGTATATGAAATGGAGGGGCAGGGTGCCCCTGCACAGGATCCAGAAGGAGCTGCTCTGTCCACGCATCAACGGGAGGAGGGTGGCCTGGGTGTGCTCCCTGAGGTCCGGGGCAGGGGACAATGGGAGCCTGGCTGTGCTGGGTCTCTGGGTGTGTCTGGGGCAGAAGCAAAGCCCCTGATGAAGAGAGGGGTCTGCACTCACATCTAGGGCTTCATGGGGGTCTCCTAGGAGAAAATCCCCTCCCTGAACCTGGAATTTGCCCCACGGAGCCCTTGGGCCCAAATATGGTCCCTCTACCAGGAAGGAGGGAGATGACTAGAATTGACAGGTGGCCCAGGAAGTTGGGTTAGGGACAGGAGTGGGGAGAGGGAGGGGATGGGAAACAATCATCAGCTCTGTCTGAATCCACCCTCTGGTAATTTGAGCCCAGTCACTCTGGGAGGACCCTGCCAGGCTGGGGACCAGACTCCAGCCACTGGGGGCTGCTAGAACTAGCCACCCATCTTCGGCCACCTCTCTCGGTTGTGATGCTGAACATGAAGCTGACCCAAGGCAGAGTGGACCTCCACCCAAATGGGTTCCCAGCATGCCTCCAGGGGGCCTGCCAGAGACGCCCACCTCCCAGGGGTTTCCTCATTTTTTTTTTTCTCGGAACTCAGATTTATTGATTTCCACCGTATGGACTTTAAAAATGGTATGAAGCTGACTGCCAGAAAAGGGAACCGGTGATTTTAAGTTAAAATTAAGCTAATGGTGAAAGTACATCACCTCTGGCTTCAGTCACCACATCGCCTTACAGTGGCTATAGGTTTTTTTGTTTGTTTTTGAACAAAGTCCCAGAACTCTGAAATCCAGGGATGCTGCAGGCCTCTCCCAGCAATGTCCTTTACTTTGGGTCAGTCTCCTGGGCCAGAGGTGAAAGTGCTTTCAAAAATACTGCCACTTCCCCAGCACAGTGTCTTTGATTGCGTCCACATATTGAGTTGGGACCCAGCACACCCAGTAGTAAGAGGCTTCCGTGGAGCCCAACTGAAACGCCATCATGTGGTAGTCTTCATGTCCTTCGATAGGTTCACTGGCCACATTTTTAATGGAGCCCGTGGGCAATTTCTCAGGCCGCTCTTTAGTGCCGATCCACAGCTGATCTTGTTCCAGCTTGAAGGTGAGTCTCACTTTGCCTCCGGATTTGTTGTACATGCTGGATAAGGGTACCGTTGGCAGGCGCTCCTGGGCACCCTTAACAGATGGCATCACATCTTCGGGTTTTCCTTTATCCAACACTTTCCTGTGTTGTTTCTGCCTGCAGAGTGGTTCCTTCTTGTTCTCTTCGGCCTTTGCATCCTGCTGGGCAGCATCTTTGGGTGTGTTTACGGCTAAAACATCATTTATCGCGGAGCCGACCACCATGATCTTGGCTCCGCTGGTCACTTTTATTTCTCTCAACGTCTTATCCTCAGGGACGAGTCCCTTATACATGACTTTCTGCATGGCAGGAGGGAGACCTGTAATCGAGTGACTCTTCTGTTTTAGTTCGGAGCCTGTGCTATCGAGGGGGAACTTCACGTCGTGTTTAGTCTTATTCCAGATGATCTTCAAGTCCACCGGCTCCCTGCCCACGCCGCCGCCCGCATCCTCGCCGTTGCTGACCGAGGCCTGGGCCGCAGGGTCCCCAGGGGGCTGGGCCGGCGCCGGCTGCAGGCTACCTCGCGCCGCGCAAGAGCCCTCGGCCGCCGCCCCCGCCGCGGCTTCGGCCTCCACGCAGTTCAGGGGCCGCGTGGGGGCCTCGGTCGCCACAGTCTCGGCCTCCGTGTCCATGCCAGGTTCCTCCATGCCATCCGGGGCTCCGGCCGCCGCCAGGATGCTTGTGTACAACACCCACCACTCCCGCAGAGGCCCTCCTCATTTTTTTAAAAGCTCTTATTTCCATAATAATTTTTAAGTGCTGACTTAAAATATAATAAATATGATAAAGTCTTTAAAAATGCTGGCTGCTATTTTAATAAAAGGTTACACATTTTTAGTAAGATAAAATAATTCTAAAGTTGTATGCATGTGATGATATAGCCTAAAGGTTTATAAAGCAAAAATAAAAAGGGAGAGAATTACAAGGAGAATTGACAAAGTCACCATCATGGTGGAAGAGTGGACATACCTTTCTAGTAGCTGGTGGATCAAGCAAGACAAATGAGAACAATTTGTAATGATATAAAAGATTTGAGCACTGCAATTAACACCCTTGGTTTCTTAGACATATAGAGAACATTGAATATCTACACATCTATGGAAAAATGAGCCTCATAGTAGCTCATACATAAAGCAAGTCTCAACAAATTTAAAAGCATTAGTGTGATGCAGTCCATGTTCTTTGGCCACAATACCACTAAGAAAACTTAGCAAAAAGACAATTCCTTCCCTGAATTTGAAAAGGAACACACTTTCAAATAACTCATTGATCAAAAAGAAAATCAGGATGAAAATCTTAAGATACATAGAACTAAAACATAATAAAATGTTACATATCAAAGTTGTAGGTTGTGACAGACTGTATGTCGTTTTTACCACAATTAAGAAAAGATGGTAGGTTGCAGCTAAAGTATCTGAGGAAAATTTATAGCCTTAAAAAACTGTTATTAGGAACACAAGGCTGAAAATGCATGAACTAAGCATTCAAAATTGAGAAGTAAAATAAGAATAATGCAATAAACCCAAAGGAAAAAAATAAAGGAAAAATAAAGGTAAGAACAGAAATTAGTTAAGTGTGAAAAAATTGTATAATAGGATTAAAAAGGCCAAAAGTTGGTTCTTTGAAAAGCTTAGTAAAACTAACAAATCTGGGGAGCAATTCAGAACAAAGGTTGGAAACAAAAATAGTCAATATGCAATGAAAAGAAGAAATATAACAGAAATTAAAAAGGAGACACTAAAAGTTTATAAGATAATACTATGACCAGCTTTCTGGCAATAAATTTGAGAACCCGAACAAAATAGAAAGCTATATAAACTATTTCTAGAAAAATATATAAAAGATGGTTCCAGAAGTAATAGAAATTCCAAATAGTCCTGTATCCACTAAAGAAATTGATTTAGGGCGCCTGGGTGGCTCAGTTGGTTAAGCGACTGCCTTCAGCTCAGGTCATGATCCTGGAGTCCTGGGATCGAGTCCCACATCGGGCTCCCTGCTGAGCAGGGAGTCTGCTTCTCCCTCTGAACCTCTTCCCTCTCATGCTCTCTATCTCTCATTCTCTCTCTCTCAAATAAATAAACAAAATCTTTAAAAAAAAAAAGAATCCATAAACTTAAAAAAAAAAAAGAGATTGATTTAGTAATTTAGAGCTACTACTTTCTTCTCTCACATAATTCTAAAACCAGGCCCAGATGGCTTTATTAATGTCATAAAATATTCATGGTAGAGATAATTTCATATTATCCAAACTCCTCTAAAATTAGAAAAAGAGATAATGTCAGGGGCCCCTGGGTGACTCAGTGGGTTAAGTGGCTGACTCTTGATTTCGGCTCAGGTCATGATCTTGGGGTCCTGGGATCTAGCGCCACTTGGGGCTCCTCCCTCAGCAGGGAGTCAGCTTGAGGATTTCTTTCCCCCTCCCTCTGCCCCTCCCCCATAAATAAATAAATGATTTTTTTTTAAAGAAAAAGAGATAACGTCACCAACTCATCTACTGAAACTAGCACAACCTTGATTACCCCTTTCCCTCCCCACCAACAGACAAAACGAGAAAGGAAAGAACACGACTGGCCAATTGCACTGTTGAACATGGGACCCTCCCCGCCCGCATGTTGGCAAGTTGAAGTCAACTATATACACAAGACAATCATCTGGACAGCATTCCTTAGAGTGTAGTTTAAGCTGTGATAACAAAAAGCCGCCAAATCACAGGGCTTGAAAGAAGACACAGTGTATTTCTGTCTCAAGTCCAGAGGGAGCGGTCCTGATCTACCATCCCCCACCCATCCAGGATTGCACCAGCATTTCTATTTCCTAGCCAGTGGGGAGAGGGGCAAAAAAGATGGACAGGACAAATGGCTTAAGCCTTCGAGGAGATGATGGCTCAGAAGTTGCCCACATTAATTCCATGCGCACCCTTTCCCTCCACGCTTAATCACAAGGCCACACCTCACTGGGAGGGACACTGAGAAATTTGGTTGAGCTGGGTGAGCGCATGGCAGGGTACAAGTCCTTGAGCTCTGTTACTAAAAAGGGAAGGCTAGTGAGGGACGGTCAGCAGCATTCCCCAGAGTGGCTAAGTTGGATTTATGCAGGAATGCATGGGTAGTTGAACACCAGCAAAATGGATTAGTGTTGTTCACATCTCCATAGACACAGAAAAAAAGCATTCAATAAAATTAAACCCTTATGATAAAAACAGAACAAAACTGCTGTTACTAACAATAACAGGGAAACTTCTTTAATGGATAAGAATATCTGCCAAGAGCCTACATCATCTTTAATGGTGAAACGCTCAAAGCACTCTTCTAAAAATCAGAAATAAAACAAAGATGCCCGTCATCACGGATTCTATTCAACACTGTGGTAAAGGCTCCAGACACCCCAAGAAATTAATATTATAAAACTTGGGAAGGAAGAAGTAAAACTGTCATTTTCCACAAATGAAGGCTATCTACGAAGATAGTCTTAGACTTGCTGGTAGCAAAATCTCTAGATAAATTATAATAAGAATTTCCATCCATATGGCCATATATATAAGTATAATATATATAAGTCCAATATGCAAAATTTGACATTTTTCCGGCATAGAAGCAACCAACAGAAAATGCAATTTTAAAAGGTGGTCGTTACAATGACACTGAAAGTAATAAGGTATCAAGGAATAAATCTGATGAGAAAATGTGCATGACCTTTCTGGGGGGAAATTATAAAACTTTATTGAAAGATATAAAGAGGAACTATAACACGTTAATGGGTAGGAAGACTGAATATTACAGAGATGTCAATTTTCCCCAAATTCCTCTATACATTGAACGGAATTCTAATTAGAATCCCGACATAGTTCTCAGAACTTGACAAGCTTATTCTCAAATTTATACGAAAGAGCAAATGGTCAGGGATAACCATTTTGAAAAAGTTCAAGAGAGGAGAATTTTTACCCTGCCAGATATAGAGAACTGGCATAGGATTTCGGTAATTTAGGCAGCGTTGTGCTGGCTTCATGGAAGAGCCGACTCACACCCGGGCAGACACCTGCCAGGAGACAGGTGGGCGGGCTCACTGGGGAAAGGCGGGGTGGGGGGGGGAGGGCGCCTCAGTGCTTTGTGCCAGAGCAGTCGGTGATGGAATCGACAAAATTAACTCGGTATCTCCCCATATTCTAAAATCCATCCCAAATGTGTAAAGCTTTGAACATGAAAAGCAAAACTTTAAAAGCTTTATTATTTTTTTAAAGATATTATTTATTTGAGAGAGAGAGAGAGGTCGAGGGGGTAGGGGCAGAGGGAGAAGGAGATTTCCTGCTGAGCAGGGAGCCCCATGTGGGGCTCGATCCCTGGATCCTGGGATCGTGACCTGAGCCGAAGGCAGACGCCTAATGACTGAGCCACCTGGGTGCCCCAAAACTTTAAAAGTTTTAGAAGAAAACATAGGAGAACATCTTTATGAAATGGGGGGTGTAGGGAAGGATTTCTTATGACTTACTCCAAAAGCAACATCACCAGGGAAGAAGTTTACATGAAGCTACGTTCAAATAAAAACTATTAAAAGTCACAACTGATGAGAAGACACCCCAAAGACTGGAAAAAAGATATGTAATGCATTTAGCAATTTAAGTTTGGAAATCAGAGTATACAAAGACCTTCCCCAAATAAATATAAAAGTATAGAGGAATGGACCAAAAAAATATGAAGAGGTAATTTAGGGAACAGGAAACACACACATCCAATAAATACTTGCAAAGATGCTCGATGACACCAGAAGTAAGTGAATATAAATTAAAACCACAATGAGAGGGGCCCCTGGGTGGCTCAGTTGGTTAAGCATCTGCCTTCGGCTCAGGTCATGATCCCGGGCTCCTGGGATTGAGCCCCGTGTCGGGCTCCCTGCTCAGCGGGGAGTCTGCCTCTCCCCCTCCCCTCTGTCTGCTGCTTTCCCTGCTTGTGCTCTCTCTCTGTCAAATAAATCAATAAATAAAATCTTTAAAAATAAATAAATACATAAATAAATAATCTAAAAAAGCCCCCCAGAACCCCACAATGAGATGCCGGTTCACATCCATGAGGTTGACCGAAGTATAAAGCCTACAAGGCCAAGCGTGGGCGAGGATGTGGACCCTGAGCGCCGCTGAAGCATCACTCCTCACTCTACTGAAAGCCAAGATGTACATGGCCTCCAGTTCTGGGGCTCCATGTCTAGAGAGACCTCACCCACCACCTCCGGGAGTCCACATGCATCATAGCGGAGCTGTTTGTAAAAAGCCAGCTTTCCAAAGCTCACACAGATCCATTCACAGGAGACTGGATAAATACATTCTGATACATTCATATCATGGAAGATTAGATCCCAGCAAAAATAATCAAACCGGAAGTAGAAGTTTAAACATTTACCAGCACATTACTGGGTGGAGGCTGTACCTCTCAAATCCTCAGGCTTGTGGTGAGGAGGAGGGAGTGCCCTGATCTGCGTGGCCTCAGAATAAAAACAAGGACTTCTGTGAGGACCATCTAGGGAGGTGGACTGGGGCTGAAATGAACAAGGGTTTTGTAACAGGCCCAGGTGCCTGAGGATGGAAGAGACTGTCTCCTAGGGAAATGAGCTCCCCGTCACTGGAGGTATGTGAGCAGGGGCTGGGCGGCTGCTCTGTGGAACCAAGCGCTGGATACCAGTGGTGCAAGGGTGGGGCTGGGTAAACATGGCCTTTGGTGAGCCTGCATTCATGCCCAGAGGCCCTGCGGTTCTGTGATTCAGTGTGGTTAACAGAGGACAAGGCTGAAAGAATAACCAAAGTGTGAGACACATCCCCGTGCTGGAGCCTGCCCGTTGGTGCAAGGGGACAGGCCCGGCTCATGCAGCAGCATGGATGTGTCTCCAAAACATGCTGCATGAAAGAAGCCTTCTGCAAAAGGTCCCATACTGGGTGATTCCATTTCTGTGAAATTCTAGAAAATGTGAAGTGATGCAGAACGACAGAAAGCACATCAGAGCTTATGTGTGTGGTGAGGGGAGGGAAGGAGCTTCCCGCAGTGATGGAAATGTTCGGTAATGTTCTGTATCTCGATCGTGGCGAGGGGTTCATGGGTGTATAATGGATGGAATCATGCACTTTAAATGGATCCATTTATTGTATGCAAACTATATCTCAGTATGGACACTTAAAAAAGAAGGAAAAAGATAAGGTGGAGAGGATTGGCAAGGAGGCCTCGGCTGCTGCATCTTCGCCTTGGTCACAAGGACGGGGCCTCAGTTTCCCCATCTGTGGAAGGAGGGAGAAGCCACATTTATTTCCAGTGTAGTGGCCACAAGTGTGTCCTCCTGGGCAAGTCGGGGAGCATCTCTGTGCCTTGGTTTCCTCATCTGTAAAGTGGGGGGACAACAGAGCCCCCTCCAGGCATGCGCTCAGAGCCATGAGTGTCACGCTGGATGTCACAGGCGTGCCTGTCGTCCTTCTAGTCTGCGTCCACATGGACGCTGCTGTCTGGGCTGCTCACTTCCCATCTTGTTCCTCTGCTAACCTTGGCCTTGTCCACACAGCCTGCGGGCCGCCTGCAGATCGGGACATCCCAAGAGACTGGTTTCAGGGCACCTGGGTCACTCTCAGCGCAGGGCACAGGTTCTTCGGGGCCAGCTTTCTAATCTGGGTTTTGGGTCCCCTGAGGTATCAAGCCCAATGCTAGGTATTCAAGTGATGTATCCTTGAATGCATGCAGGAGGGAGTCTGATGGCCCTAAGTCAGGGAGGATTTTGCTTGGGTTGTCTCGGAGAAGTGGCTTTCTCGGCCTGGAGGGCCATCAGGGCCCTGTATGGTTGGGCAGGCTGTTCACTGTAAAAGGAAGTCCCACCCTGGGGGGGGTGAATGGGGGATAAAACCTATACATATACCCCTTTCGAAGTCATACCGTGTCTTCCCAAAGAGGTGCATTATTCTTTCTTTTCTTTTTTAAAAAATAAACATTTTGTTCTGGAACAATTTTAGATTTACAGAAAAGTCACAAAGATAGTAAGAGAATTCTCCTATATCCTTCACCCAGTTTTCCCTTACATCAACATCACTTACATAACCACAGGACACTTGTCAAAACTAAGAAATTAACATTGGGACAATACTGTCAGCTCAATTTCAGACTTGATTTGGATTTTACCACTTTCCCCACTGTTGTTCTTTTTCTGTTCCAGGATCCAATCCAGGATATCACATTGCATTTAGGTTTTGTTGTTGTTGTTTAGATCAACAGGGGTTGCCCTAGGGGCTAGCAGTGGATGGGAAAAAGAAGGTGGGTACAGGGGAGCATCCAGAATAAAGTCCTTAGGGGGTTTGTGAGGGAGGAAGCCCAAGGTGGGTCATGGGGAGCCACTGGCCTTCCTGACCCGGTCTGAGCACCGTGAAGTGTTTCCCACTGTCTCAGTTCAGCTTATGCAAAGGACAGAGGAAAGATATCAAAGTTTGTTGGCTGGTTTTAATTATTGACTGGCCCCATATTGGAGCCGGCCACTGTCCTGTGGTTTCCTGGTTCATCCTAAGTGACGGTCCAGGCTGGGTGACCAGTGGCTCTGCTTATTTCTTCCCTTGGGTGTGGGGAGCAGTGGCAAAATGAACGGTAAGAGCCAGGTGAACTCGGAGCCCACGGGGAGAGGCCGTGCTCCTCAGATCCCAAATTGACTCATGGCTAAGGGGGAGCACTCACCCTCCCCATGAGCAGCAGAACTCCGGCTTTGTCCCCTCAGCAGCTGAGGTGCCAGAAGAACTTGGAGTCACCTGGCCCTGGGTTTGATTTCAGGCTGGGTGGTCCTAGTGGGTCAGCTGCCTTCTCAGACCCTCCCATTTGCCCATCGTTAAAATATGCCACGGAGCCTCGTTCCAGGGCGCCTGGTCCCCCAAGGCTGCCTTGAGCACAGGACTGGCTCATGTGGAGCACTGCCCATCATTTCCCTTTAATTTCCTCTTCTCAGCGGGGCCCCCGCCCCTTTCCCGCCCCCCCCCACCCCCCTGCATCTCCCATCCTTCCACACTCTGGGATTCCCACACTCGGGCACCTGCTTGGGGGAACGTTATGTGTTGCTCGCGCGATCCCCTCACCGGGAGTGTCCTCTCTCTGGCAAGCTTTCAAGTGCTGGCTCAAATGCTCACGGGCCCCAGCTCTCCCTCCATGTAGCTCTGAGGTCCCCTCCCTGGAGATCCCCCCTGACACGTGTCAGGTCGCATCTTCCCCAGGGATCGGCTGTGCCTTTTGCACCCTGGACTCACCAGCACCCGATACTATGCCCGGCGTACAGTAGGCACTCATTAAATGCTTAACACTTAGAATTGAGATGAATTGAATTCCTGGAAGCCTGAAGTCTTTGGGGAACAACTCTGGCCCTGCCCCATGGGCAAGAAGTGAGGCCCCAGTCGGCAGGGTAACCAGGTCTCCCGCGGGTGCTCTAGCCCAGCACCTGAGGGGCCCCGAGCTGTTCTGCCAGACCGCATGCTCCGCCTTCTGCAAACGGCTGTTGGGGCAGCAGCTTGGGTAAGTTCCCCTTCCGCTTCCTCCTACCTCTTGTCCTACTGAGGCTGTTCCTCTGCCGGGGCGCCTTGCCAGGCTCTCCAAACCCCTGGAGCCCGCAGAAACTCTCCGTGCCCTGAACTGTCACCAGCGCTGCCTCCCAGGCCCCAGACGGCATGCAGGCCATCAAGTGTGTGGTGGTGGGAGATGGGTAGGTACCTGGCTGAACTTACTTCCCTGGCTGAAGCTCTCTACTGGGGTATCCCTGACACCCGCCTGCCCTGCAGATGTCGGAGCCCCTGGGAGGCAGTGGGAGGAGCTTCTCCTTTCTTGTCCCGGGGCCCAGAGACAGACCCCGAGGTGGGCAGAAGACAGCTTCACCCTCTTTGCCTACTTCACTCCGGAAGCTGCTTGGATGGCGGTGGGTAGAGGGCCCAGAACTGAGGGTGGAAGTGCCTTGGGTCCCTCCCCTGCACCCTGAGAGCTGGAGCAGATCTCTCATGGGACCTGTCTTCAACTCTGCGGATGCAGGGGCAGGGGTGGAGAACCAAGAATCTGGCCTTTGTCCTCCGGCTGACCTGGGCTCTAGTCAATGGCTTGCACTGCTGTGTGTCCTTGGGCAAGCCACAGAGCCTCTCTGAAGCTCAGTTCATCCATCTGGGAAGAGGCCACGCCCCCAGGACTGATGTGGGGTCACCTGACATAGTTTGAGGGGCTGTCCTGTGCATAGTGTGCTCAATAAATATTAACCTCCTCCCCCTCCTCCTTCCCTGACTTTCCCCTCCCCCCGCAGCCTGCCTGGTTGGGGAGGATGTGTGGGGGATGTGGGTGATGAGCAGAAGGGGGAGGGAGACATGAAGTGAAGGTGGAGGGAAGAAGGCATGGGAGGGTGATTGGGAGGGTCAGTGTGGGCTAGGCTGGGCTGAGGGGCTTTCTCAGCTGTGGGATCTCAGGGACCCCGGGTTGTCATGTCCCCGTGGGCCTCAGTGACCTCAGGTTGTCATGTCCCCGCGGGCCTCTTTCTAATGAGGTCTAAGATGCCGATCTCTGGAGCCAGCCAGCAGCAACGTCTCAGGGCACAGCCTACAGGTGCCTCCTGGCGTTTCCTGGGAGTCCAACCCAGTAAACTCCAGCATTTCTAGCCGGTCAGGCCTCCGTTCCAACTCTCCCATTCTACAGAGGGGCAGCCTGAGGTTGGAGAGACTCAGATCTTTCCTGGCCTGGGTCACAGTGGCCCTGACATGACAGACCGACTTTGGCTCTGACAGATCTCATGGGAGTGGGTCCATTTATCAGCCCTCAGCTGATTCCGACACACCGGCCTGGCCTTATCTGCCCACCTGCCTGCCCAGCCCTGTTCATTTCCGCTCTGTATCTGATCTGAGGAGGGGAGGGCAGAGCCAACGCTCCAGTTATTCAAAGTCACCTTGGTGGCAAGCTCTGGGGAGGGCAGAGGGGGGAAGAAGGTGGCTGGCCTCCTCAGAACAGGAAGTGACAATACAGGAGTGGGGCTGGAAGGCCCAGGGCTGCCCCTTTGGCGGCTACCCTTCCCACCGCACCACCCGTGCCCCCTCCCAGCCCAGCTGACCCGCAGGGCGGGGGAAGACAGCGCGCGTCACGGCAGTTATTAGTGCTTGCCATGTGTCAGGCACTGGACTCAGTCACACCCCCTCTATTTGGTCTTCCCACCAACCTAAAACTAGGCCCATTTTACAGGTGGGAAAACTGAGGCCTGGAGAAGTTAAGTGATTTGC